AATTATCGCAGATTTCGAACACGTCAGCAGCTCGCGATATTTATCGAATTATCATATCGCGATGTTACAACTCGAATATTGTAAAATAAAAGCCATTGACTTCATATCAAACGAATGATACCGGTTTTGAATTTTTCTCATAATAAAATTTTTTCATATTGATATTATTCATCGCTTGCAAATTGTACAATTATGAAATAAGATGTACTCAATTATCTGAGCTTATCTTTCGTAGATACGGCAGTTATCTTGATACAGTTTATAATCGAGATAGCGTTTCGACTGTTGTAATCTAACATTCGAGAAAGAAATGAAAAAATCATAGTGTTTTCTTTTCTAATAACAAAGATACCGTAACTTCAATTTTCTGAAAAAGAAAAAAAAATGAAGTTTCATTCAATAAAACGTTATTACATGCACGTAGAATAGTAATCTTATCGCATGAAGATTTCGTCTTTGAAGTATGGAAAATATTGAAGTCTAGCAGATGACAGGCATTTGTAACTTTGAAAAATGACATTGGTCGATTCTTGCAAGTGGCAAATGCATCGACGCACCATAATTAAATCGATATTTACTGGATTATTCGTGGAACTATCAACTCTTCCTAAGTGAAGTCTTTTCCTCTGGCAAAATATTTTGGTCGATATACTCTCTTCGGAAAGCTCAAATTCTCTGAGATGATAAAAGAAAAGAGGTCGTTTCATTACTGTTGCTATTTTTTATAAATTTTTTATATAGTAATATGTCCTGTAGTCTCATAAACCGAGAAGATCCTTGCATTAACTTATGCGAAAAAACACCGTTGTCTTTTACGAATGTACGTGTGCTCTTAGTTTGCAAATGTTTATAAACGATGTATTACAAACTAATGTATTAACGATGACGATCATTGATTCTAGAGTAAATACGTTAAATCATGTTGTCAACGAGGATGTAGATTCTTCAATTTAGTGGACTTGCATTATGGGTTGGAACCAAATCGTTTGAATGGTACTAGAGATGCTTGCGAAGCTTGTACGTACAACATATAATGATTGTAACAACATTTAAGTAAAAAGACTAAATCTTAATTGTAGAATAAAACTTTAGGCAATTATTTCATTCTGTATATAAGATTGTTTTAAATGATTTAAAGGTATTTGAATCAATTAAAGGTATTCTTTTATAATTCAAAACATTGCTAAAAAGCTTACTCAGAATAGTTGTAACTAGAAAACATTTAAATAAAATGTTATTTTATTTTGTTGTAGCATGTACAGAAGCATATACAGCTCCCCAAGATCGCTACGCATGTAGTACTGGTTGTGATTTTATGGCCAAGCAGCGTGTTTCAGATTTATTGTCACTCTTCTCTGTTGCTGTTTATATAGAGGAGGGTGTAGATTCTAACTTACTTGTAATGTCACCTGATATACCTGAAAATGATATTTTGAGTGATCCAGGCTTACGAAAGGAACTTCTCCCAGGATGGTGGGATTCTAATGGATTTAAATTACCACAAACATATATTAAGACTGTTCCTTTAGATACTGGGGTAAGTTTTCAGCTGTGTTTCATTAATTAAAAATTTAAGCAATACAATTTTAATTGTTCAATGAATGTATATCTATGAAACAAATGTAAATTTTTTTTTTCTTTAGAAATACTTTTTTTAATTACTTATCTTAATAATACTAATATAAATAAAATAAATACTTATTTTAATTGTAGATATTTATCTTTAGAAATTGTATTTTACATAGAATACATTTACTTGTTTAATTAAATTTGTTTATTTAAATTTGATTTGATTGATTATGATATGATAGACATTGGATTATGGTGTACCATCAGACTACTCTGGAGAAAATGACCAATCAACTTCAGTACCTGAATCCGATCAGCTTCGGTGCACTTCAAAACAGATTGAACTGCCAAACTGGTTGTTAATCTCTGCTACTATAATAGGAATAGTGTCTGCATTTTGTATGTGTCTTTTTTGCTCAGATGAACCTACTGATTCTTATAAAAAAATACGTATTGAGCATTTTGGAAGAAAACATATTGAATATATTAAGAAAAAATATATTGAAAATTCTGATTCAACAGTTGCATTATATGTACCAGAAGTATCATTTCATAAACAATTCCTTTTAAAATAGTGTAGATTCAGTGGAAATTGACATGAAAGTTTAGCTAAATGTTTTAACTAATTTTTTCCATAATTTTGAAACTATTTAAATTTCAGTATGATAATGCAGTTTTGAATAAACTATTTACATTGTGTATAATAGATTTTTGTGAATACTATAATTATTAAAAACTAACAGCACTCGATTTTTGAAATTACTCATAGTTGAAATATAAACTTTTAAGAATATATGTGTATAAAAATAAGATTTTAAAACGTTGATTGAGAACATATAAAGATTAAAATCAAAATAAATGATAAAATAAGTAACAAAATATTTTATGGGAAAAATTTATGGTTGAATGTATATGGTGATACATGATAAAATTATTTTGTACAGAATAACATTGTTTTTTATAATAGAAAATAACAGCTCTTATGCTTCTTTTTTTCAATAGATGAAGTTATTGAAATCAGTACTGAAATAAAACTTGAAAAATGGATATGCACATGTATAAGACTGCAAATTATGTACTTTGTTAGTAATTGAGCAAGGATAAGATTTTGTATTTATATCAATATATTATTTTGTTACATATAATGTACAAACATAAAAAAAACTATGCATAATTGTGTAAATTAATTGTATTTGAAAAATTTTGTTTTATTATTCTTATATTAATTAAACATTCTAATAGTGATAAATTTTATTTTATATTTAGAAAATGAAGTTAGCTTGCTTTAAAATATTTCTATATTTAATATATGCATATGTTTTTCTGTATTTTTTATATCTAATATTACAGTACAGTGCAAAGTAAAATTTAAAAATTACAAGGTTAAGAAACTATGTATTTGTAAGTTTTATGTTGCATAAGAAAATGTAAAATATTATGATTATAAAAGTAACTACAATATTATGTACGATTATTCTTACACAAAGAAAGTCTTAGATATTAATTATATTTCAATATTGCGTTGAATCATATAATAAGTACATAACTTATGTCATTGCAATTTTTGAAATATAATTTAAGACTTTTCCGTGATACATTTTAATTGCATTGTGCAAAAATGTTTAAATTTCGTATTTTTTCTCAAGAAACAAATTAATGTATGATTATCTAACCAACGTAAGATATTACTTATAAATAAGTAAAGAAATGTTACAATGTCCTTACCTGTAGAGTAGAATATTGTAAAGTATTAAATATACAGCGTTTCTCAATTTAATGTAATTTAAAGTAAAAGATCAATGAGATTATACAGTTACTAGAATATTTGTTTCAAAAAGCAATATTATTTTCATATTATTGTAACATTAAAATTATATTTTAAATTAAATATTTTAGTATAAATGTTATAAATGTGGTGTTAAGATGATATACTAATGTTATAAATTTCTTTATAAAAAAAATAGGTGAATAAATTCCATCTGTCCTGTATATTATTATAAGAATTGATTTCAAATAGAATTTTGTTTTATAAAAATGAGCTAGTCTTTGAAAAATTATTAGAGATTAATATATGTAATTACAAAAGTTCTAATCAAAGATTTAACGTTTCTTTTAATTGTACAAAATACAATATCTTTTAAGTATTAACATAATTAATGTATAAGAAAGTATATTTCAAACCAAAGTATCATGTTCCTTATATAGAATATTATTAATTTACTGTATTACCAATATTTATCTTACTATACACTGTAAAAAATAAAAAAGAAGTGATATGAAGGTATGCAAATAGTACTTATTATTACTCCATACTTGAACTATTTTATTCAAACAGAACAATTTTTAGTATTTTTATCATGAGACAGAAATTTAACACATAACAAATAAGATTAGCACCTTTTAAAAATATTGATTACAATTATAGAATATTGAAAGAAGTATTTGTAATAAAGATGATTTACATTAATATTAAGCCATTTAAACTATTTAATTCAAAAGTATTTGTACAAAAAAAAAACAACTTTCAATTTTTCTTATTATTCTTTGTTATTTTTCGGCATTTTCAAATTTTTTAATAAGAAATATTTTTTTAATTCAAGATAACTGCAATATGTACAATATAAAAAAGTATCCTGAATCAAAAAAATATTCAATTCTTAAATATAAAAGAAATCAACCTGTACAGTGTAATTATTATTTAAATGTTATTTAAATATTATCCTAAGCTTAAGTATTTAACTGAAGGCATTTACAGCCAATAAAGTTTCGGGTCATCCCTTCGTACTTGTAATTTCAATACATGTCTATATATTTTTAATGCAGGCCCTAGAAGTAAGTCAAGTCCACTTAACACGTCAGATCGTTTCATCAATAACAAAGAATGGCCGTCAATGTCCTGAAATATATATAAAAATATGAAATATTTGTTAACAGGTATTAAATAATACAAGGATTCTTTGGAATAGAAAAAAAAAAAAGAAAATACCTGTTGTCTAAATACTTCTGCTTCTTTTGGAAAAAGTCTTGCAAAATATTGATACACTTGCTCAGATGTCCAATCTGAAGCATCAGGTATATTTGGATCAATTCCATCTCTCGGGCTATCATCTTCCATTTGATCAGAAGATCCTCTGGCAGGGGAAACTTGAGGACTTAGAACCGGGGGTAACACAGGAGGATTTGACGGTGTATCGGGCCTACTGGTAGCCAGATTAATATTTTGGTTTATGTTTGTTTTATATTGTTTTTGAACACAATCATTACATTGCCACTTTGAATTTGATTTAGGAATTATTATGCGTGGTGTGTGGCAATAATAATGATAAGCTTCGTCACAAGTAAAACATGTTGCAAGTGGTCCCTGAAATTAAACCATAATACAATGAGGAAAAAGATACAAAAAAAGAAAGTTATTATGTCTTTTACGAATCACTTACAGCATCTGAAGTTTCACAACATATTGTACAACTCTTGCAACGTTCGCATTGCCAATTGCTGCCAGCTTTTTGAATCATTTCTTCTGGGCTATAAATACAACTTGGATGTGCTGTAAATAAGTGAAAATTTATTAGATTTTTGATCTAAAACGTTCATCACATTTTATCACAAACATGGCAATACCTCGTACGGTACAGTCACGACAAGCAACTAGATTTTCTTGCTTTTCTTTGGCACAGAGACTACATTGCCTGCAAGGCCCATCTTTGACAGTCGGTTTAGAAGAATCTTGGGATTCTTGAGATACAGAAGATTTATTTTGCGAGCCTGGTTGCCTCCCGCGTTTTCTTTTCACAAGATTGTTATCAGAAGGATCAAACACCTTTTTCGCTCTCTATAAAATGTAATTATTTTTTAAGCACATGCACATTGGATCAAAAGTTTTGTATTAATAATTGTAAAAAAAAGAAAAGAAAAGAAAGTAAAAATACATACCTTCCTGCGAGCGCTGCGAAAACCCCCAACGTTAGTGTTGGATGGTGTAGGCGAAGGATTAGTGGAACTTCTTCCCGCATCCTCGTCTTCTCGTTCCTCACTAAGATGCCCGGTCTCCTCTCTCTTCTCCTTCTGCGAATTTATCTCTTCTTTATTGTCTTTATTCCGATAGTCCTCGAATTTAATCTCTATATCCATAGGATCATCCGTCCGAACGAGTAGGCGTTGTTTACGCTCGGCTTTCGACGATCTTTTAAGGTTATGAGTCTGGCCATCCGTATTTTTCGACTCTTCCTTCACATCTTCGACGGACGTCTGCGATGGCTCCTGCGGTTCCTGCTCCTTCACAGGATCGTGTTCCACCGGTGACTCGGTGCTTTCGTTCCTCCCGACGATTATTTCGAAACATTCTTCCTTTTTAATCTGCGGATCGGACTTAGGACTTGCCTGACGCGATGATCTCGGCGTGTTTGACCTCGAGTCCGTGATCGTCAAGTTCTCCGTCTCGTCGAAGTCGTACAACGCACCGGTGGTCGACGAAACGGTCTGCAGCTCCTTCCGCCGCGCGTTCCCATTCTCGAGAGTAAAAGATTCACGATGTATCGGCTCGGCGGTGGTTGTCATGTCAGACGTCGCCACCAGCGAGTAATTACCGTTTGAGAGACGCGTCAAATTACCACTGGCCACCTCTTTCCCGAGAAAATCTTCTACCATGCGTCTGGAAGTAGGATTTGACATACCATCGAGCAACTGCTCGATCAGCCTATACGCTGGTACACCCTGATCAAGGTAATCCGGCTCCTCGACAACAAGCTCGGCAACGGCGCCGGCCACCATCCCGGAGTTTAGCTTTTCCTTCACGAAACCTTCCGGTCGATTCTTATACAGCTGCAGCCGTGACCATTTCGAGGCATTTCGGTAACTAGTGTTGCCCTTGTAGTCCACCTGTATCACCTTCTCCGCTTCGATCAACCGATGAAGATCAGCTATGGTGTCCCGTGCGTCCACCGAGAACTTCCTCAACAAGTAATTGCAGATACGGTCGGCGTCCGGTCGCGCCTTTCGTCGACGCAACTGATCTATCGCCTCCAGGATCTGCTCCTCGTGGAGTATCTGCGTCTCGACTCGGTGCTGCTGCATTATTACGCGTCGATGAGACTTCCTCTACCACGACGGTGTGTCCGACAGTTTTTGTTCGTGCGTGGACAATGGAAAAGAACGCGGGACTGATGCGAGCTCGTTTCGCGGCGGTCTGTCCACGTTTTTAGAGTGCCCGACGCATTCGCGCGTAATGTCATAACGGCCGGTAAAAATTCTTGTGCGTTGCGCTATACGTGCGTAGTACACGTCCCCGCTTCTACTACTTTACCACTAGGCTGCCTTCCACGATCGAATCGTCATCCGCCTTTCTTTCGAAACGATTTCCTCTTAGAGTCGCAATCAGCGAGATCTCAATTTACACGGTATCTCGATTTATCAACGCGTAAACATCGACATTTCTTGATCACCGTTGGAAACAATGGGCAGATAAAACGTCGATCATTTTCGCTTCACGTTGAGTGCGGTCGGGATCGTTTTTCATCAGCACGTATAAACAAGTCGAAGAGTGACACGCCGCGTGATAAAAACGTGCGTCTCAATAGGTTTTTCTGTGTGCGCTTGGATTGTCTCTTTGATCTCTTTCCTTTCTTTCTCTTCTTTCTTTCTTTTAAATCGCACGATGAGTCAGGACGAGGAGAACGACGCAACGTGTCGAATGGGATATTATCGATTGCACGGATCGACGAAGTCAATACAGCGTGCGAAATCCATGGCGCATTCGGGAACCGCGCGAAACGTCCGCCGAGTGTTTCGTCGTCAATCAGCTCTAAGCGGTGGCGATTGGACGCAGCTTACCGAGATTATTACACTTTTGTTTCGCTTCGTCCGCTACCGGGAGAGAATTTCGAATTGCGTACCGCAGCTGCGCTGATCCATCGTTGGACTGAAGCCGAGGGAGAAGAGGAGGTGCACGCGACGACGGAGAGGCGATCCGGTGAAGTCAGGTCGTCCGCCGCTGTCGGATCGAACATCGAACTGCAGCGCGACGCATTTCACACCCTTTGCACGCGACTTTGCAACGACGTCGTCGGTGTTGTGCCTTCGCGTCCGCGCGATACCTAACTTCCTTCCGATCTTTTCGCCCGACGATTTGAAATTCGAACGAACAAACCTATCAAAAGAAAAAGAGTAGAACGATTTTTCTCGGCACTGGCTCCCCTCCGAGAACTGCTTGCGCTACTTCTCTCTTTTGTTTCGCTTGTGAAAATTCGTTTTCACGCGTGAATAATTATCTTCGTCGCGAGAACGATCGCGCCACTTGGTACTACGTGCCAAATGACCGTCGAAACACCACGTCTTCGCCACGCGCCAATCGTCCAACAAAGCGGGATACCTCTTTTTTCTATCACTGGTATCTCTCTCTCTCTCTCTCCCTCTCTTTCTCACCGTCTGTCCAACAACTTTTTCGCAGTGTCTCTGGCTCCGTGTAAGCGCGCTTCGCGACAAGCCACTTTGACGCACGCGATGAAACGGCGCACCGAGTCCGACTTCACGAGTCCGCACGGTTCTTTGCGCGAACGTGCGTGTACACACGAGTAGTTAACTCGTGTGCGTTACGTATTATACGTACGTGCGTGTACGTACCACGCGGGATATATCGTCGCCGGTTGCGTTTCCCCCCCCGCGGTTGCGATACTGTATCCTCGTGCGCGTTGACACTGTGTACGAGTCGCACGAGTTGAATCTTCGCCTCTTTGCAGTGTCTCGTCGTCTCGATCGTTGTCGCGCGACAACACACACGACGACAATTCTAAGAATATCGATAAGCTCGGAACGATTGTCCGTATCGCACACGGGCGAAACTGCGGAACGCGGGTTTCTTTCACCGGGGGCGCGCGTCAGCTAACTTCTCCCCGATTGCCGATTCGACCGGCGAGAGATCATTTGGCGAATCGCATGCGTACCATCAAACGAGAACGCGAATCAACGTGCCCGTTAAAAGAAAAAGAAAAACCCGTTTACACGTCACCGGGGCCCGCGGAGTTTCGTTTTCATCGTCGTTCTCAACGTCGTCCTGTTGACTGATAGTTCCGCGTCGAAATCATCGCGTTTCCCCCCCGGAACAGTTGCGTTGGGCCGCAACGTTGCGAGACGCGCTCTTTTTCCCAGAGGCGGCCTCTCGTGCGCGCCGCGCTACTCTACCTCCGCTCGTTCGCTCGCCACTGAACGCCCGAAAAGATCGAACACCGAGAAATTGTGACGCACTTCACCTCGCTGCCACTGTCACTTCCGACAATTCACTGTCCAGACAATCGTTTTGCATTGCCGGTTAACTTGATCCGAAACACGGCGGCTGCTGCGCTACTGATTGCTACTGCTGCCCGACGAAATCACTCCGGCGAGAGGAGCGAGGAGCGCGATGCCGGGTGCGGCTGCACGCGAGTGTGGACAGACCGCCGCTGGAGTACGGAACACGCGGAGCGCACTTTTTGCGGGGACGGGTCCGCACAGGTGCGGCGTTGTCTTTATCAGTACCCGGCGGAAGCCGGCTTCTGCGCATCGCTTTCCCTAAATGTTCTTTGTTCTCGTTACAACTTTCTTCCCTTTTGTTCCTTTGTTGCTCTTCATTGTCACGTCGTTGATTGTGTTCGAATTGATCGTCTTTTCATCGAACCAACGATTGATTGATTGATTGATCGATGAAGCACACTTTCCCGTCGAGTATACCGATAGATCTTAAGTAGAAAAAAAAAAAAAGAGAAAAGCATTTAAAAATTTGATTCTTAACAGGTTAAATGCGGCATCAGTTCCCAGGAGTCGACGTTGGACTTCCGTTTATTAGATGGCGTGGTCCCTGATGGCAACCGACCTATCGTAGTTCAATTTTAAATTTGTTTACCTGGTTTTTACATCCGAACGGAAAGCACGACGAAAATGGTTCGACGAGATTCAATTTCGACAATTTCTTTATTTCACTGAATGTTCTCGTTACAATGCCGTATCCTCGTGAAATTCGATTGTAATTTGTTCCGTTTGCGTCTACTCGTCTTTACTTACCTTCAGTAAATTTCGGATTCAGATAAAAGTATGCGTTACGGTAGAATATTTTTTCCACGATTTGTACGCGTGATACGTTACTGCGTCTGTGATTTTAGAAACGACCGTGACGTATCGGCTGTTCCCGAGCGCTGCTGTCCTCGTTCCCGGCCGAGTAGCTCCCTTTTGAGCCTGTTTTCAGATCGACGGATCTGACGCAACAGATCGCAAGCGAATTTTAAGGTACAATGAGTCACGGCCAAAATCGTGCATCGTGAATAAAAATTTCAACGTTTCGCGTTGTCAAAGAATGATAGGGATGACGTGAAAAAAAAATGATGAATGTACATTGTAAATGTGTCTGTATTTGTTACATAATGATATAAAAAATAAAATAAATATTCCTAGGTACAGAAAAAATAAAATTACTACAATCCAGGCTGAAAAACTGCTTGCAGCTAGAATTATACAATACAGTATTCTCCTCAGGGAATCCCCCAAATAAAATAAGAATTTCAAATAATAAAAATGAAGGAGCGAGAAATTGTCTTAAGAAATGTTTTTTGAAAGTTTTCAAAAGCAAAAGCTTTCGTTTCGTGAAATCACGAAAATTATAAACAGAGGTATTGGTATCTATTTGATGCTTGAAGAATATTGAGAAGTCTAAATACAAATATTTAATATGAAAGAGAAAGTACGATGTAATGTTATTCTTTTTTTTCATATTTTTATATAACAAAATATGAATTACAATTTATTATATTGAAATGACAAGAAGCAAATAAGAGAAGAAAAAGAGGAAAATAATAATTACTTCATGTTGCAAATTTTATTGTAAAACAGATGTGAAAAAATGTAAACGTAAAAAAATATACACACACTGTAGAAAATTCTACGCATGTTTAACCGTTATTAATTATAAAAAAATAAATTAAACACAACTGTTTTCTTTATCCATCGCATTTGTGCTACTGTTATGCCGCTGAAGTTTTGAAATCTGTTAAAAAAATGAATTAGTTACTATCTTCATCAAATAACGATTTGTTATTAAGATATAATTTCGCACATACCAGATTAATCGGTTTTACTTTATGGATAAGTTTGTTACTATCCCTTAATGGACTTCGTTGGATATTTTCATTTTTCTTTACTGGCGAATTTCTTTGCGAATTTGTTTTTTTATATACTGAACGTCGTGGCGATTCGTGTACACGCTCACAGTGATTAATTTCAAATGAGGAATATCGCTTATTTATAGGAGGTGTTTGTGCTTTTGGAATACCAGATTCTGTACGTCGATGTTTGGGTGTCGTTTTCTTTGGGGACGGTAATTTGTTACTCCTAAAAAATAAATTATCTTGTAATTATTTTGCAAGTATGGCACTATAAAGTATTTTTCTAAACATGACGAAAGTTGAACTTACCTTCGTGGACTATCGTTAATTCTATTGTTATTATCAACATTTACGCGTGTAGTTACTGGCGAAATATCGCAGAAAAAGTTCCGTTTCTTCGGGCTGTTAACTACTTGCGATTGTACTTTTCGCGTTTTAGAATTTGGTGCATCTGGAGTTGACGAAGCTACTGGTTTTGAGGATCCTGATTTTTTAACTGGGGGGACTTCATTGATTATCGAATTAGGTGTACTGCTAATTATTTCATGAGACTCGGGTGATATTATATCTCCAATGGATGAAATTATTTTTTTATTAACAGTATCTGCAGAAAATGTAAATGAAATGAAGGATAAAAGTGAATATAATTTTTTATTTTTATTAATTATACCTCTTTTTTGCATATTTCTTATAGGAATAATAGCTTTCATGGGCCCTTTTTTATTTGTGATATTAGTGTCAATTTTTTTCTTCAATTTATTTTTAACTGTACTTATCATTGAAATTTTTTCTTTCTGCGAATCTAAAGTTGTAATCGTTTTAGTTTCTGTATCTGAAAAAAGTTATATATCAATTATTCTTAATTATTATTTTATTATTTATTGATATTGTAAAAACAAATTACCTTACCTCGTAATTGATTTTTATTGTTATTTATCACTTTTTTATTTAATGATGGATTAATAAAATTGGGATCACTAGAAAATCGTTTTTTCAATTGAGGTATATCTTTGTTGGCAAGTGAACTTGATTCAATTGACGGTGTTTGAGATATAGATATACTTCTCCTGATAAAATTTTTACCAATTGCTTGTTTCTAAAACAGACATTGTTAATTATATCATAACGAATTTATCTGAATTTTATAAATTTTTTTTTCAATATTATTCTTACCTTTGAATCTACATTTAAACTTAATCTATTAGCTGATTTTGAAAGTAATGACTTCATTTCCTTTCCAGATTTCAATTTTGATTTTTTTGACGTTCGTTGAATTTTTACATCTTCATATTTAGTTTCCATGTTTTCGTCAACATTACAGTTATAAGCAACATTCAATACTTCTCCTAAGTTTTTAAGTATATCCAAAGTTGGATGTCCTTTAGTCTGTAATAATTTTCCTATATTTGCAAGTAAATCAATTATCACTTTTTCATTTAGTGGACTATATTCCTCTTTGCAAGAAGAATCTTCTTCAGACGTCTTTTGATCATTAAATTCATTTTTATTTTTTTCTTTGTTTATGTTTCTAATATTCACTTGGTCTCCTGAAGTTTCATATTTTAATTTATTATTTACGCTATTTAAGTACTTTTGATTATCAATACATTTATTCGTATTTACATCATTTAAATTTATGCTTTCGAAGAATACTGATTCCTTAATACTTTCCGTTGAATCATTAGTCAAATTATTTTCTTTACTATACTCTGTATTAATTTCTATCACATTTTTGATCACTTCTAAACTATTATTTGATTTTTGTGGACTCTTTGATAAATTATTAGTTGCATTAAGATAAGTAGTTAATAATTCGGTATTGTTGTCACAATTAATACCTAAAACTTTTTCCAAATTCTCCAATAGTTTATTTGCTTCTATATTCTTTTCTGTATCAACTAATTTTTTAAGATCTAACAAAAGTGTTACAGCTCTAGGACGTTTTTCTACTGATATTGGCTCGACAAGTTCCATTTCTAAATCTTTTACATTTTCTTTCATTTTATTACATTCGTCTATTTTATTTTTATACGAATCATTATCTTCATTTTCTGTAATTTTTATATTTTTCAACTTTGAATCATTTTTCTCAGGAGATATGGGTAATTCAATTAAATTTTCTGAAGTTTCATCATCAAATGCTGGTAACAATTCTGATGTCCATGAAAGATTGTTTGTAATGAGATCGTCAATGCTTGCTAGATAATGAAATGAAAAAAGTGGAAATTGGTAACTAAAATGTAGAATATCAAGTTATTTATTTAAATTTATTTTATAATTAATTTTTATTAATTTTTCATATTAAGATTTTATAGATAAGTTAAATTTTAAAGAAGAAAGTTTGATATGAACTTACAGCCAGAACTGGTTTTTATAGCCATCTCCTCAAAAGTTCTTGCAAGAAATTTTGCTTCCTGCAGTATTGATTTATTAATTTTATTTCCATCCTGTAAAGTAAAAATAAATCAAAGTGTCTTTTCAAAAATGATCAAAAAGGAAAATTTAAAAAAAAACTTACAATAAATACGGAATCTGATGACGTATCTGAAATAGAACTTTTGCAATGTTCTTTACTAGAATTATTGTCTGGCGTAAATACATCCACATCGATTAACTTATTATTTACACTACATGTTTCATTTTTTTCTGTTAAAGTTACAGATTGTTTTATATCGCTGAAAGAGCTACATGTAAGTACATCTTTATTATTTGTACAACTTTCAGGAATCCCTGATACTCTTGCTTTAAGTTTATTAAATCGATCTGTTAAATCAGACAATGAATTTTTTTTTAATATTTCCAAATTTTTTGTCGCTGACAATACAGATTCTGTTTCTTCATTGCAATCTTTAGTTAATTTTGTATTCTCTGATTTCTCGAAGGAACAGCTTTCTAAGAATGTCCGATTCATAGTTCCATTTGATAGCATTAGTGATGGACTAATTATTGAAGAAACAGGACTTATTTTTGGTATAGAAGAAATATTTGACAAACTTGAGAATATAGAACTTCCTCCAATATCGCTCTTAAAAAATCCTTCATTCAGCATATCAGGTGAATTTAAAGAAGATATACTAATTTCACTGTTAGAAACAGTTCTTAAAGATTTAGCCAATGATATTTGATGCAGATGCTCTAATACTCTCATATCGAGTAGTGTTTCACCTTGTGAAAAAGAACGTTTAAATTTTGGAACTTGTAAGGTCACACTAGGAATTAACATTTTATTTTCCAAAGTAGATTGTATTTCATTTTTATTCGATTTATTGCTTTCTTCGAATAAGGTATCATTCATCACAGATTGATTTAATATTGATAAATTAAGATCTTGAACATCGATAATGGGTAGATTGTTTGATGTATTAGTATTACTTAAATTATCAATTGCATTTTTAGCAGACTTTTTATTGCTGGTTGTATTTCTTAAATTTAATTCGTCATTAATTAAAATCTCATCCAACGTTTTGTTCATTTTCAGCTTCTGTCCATTCTTTTTTTCCTTAAGAACCGGATTATTTGGTAAATCAAGGGAACCTGATTTCAAGGAAGTATTCTTTTTGCACTTCACTGTCAATGCTTTCTCCAACATTATTTCAAAAGGGTCGTCCTTTTTTTGAATATACTCTGTAGTTTTATGCAACACCATATCAAAAGGATTATTTTCTAAACTATCACGTTTTCCTATTATTAGAGAATTTGGCTCGTTCGTATTGATTCGAGTATTATTGTTGTTGGATGTAACATCTGTAGGTACTGGTATTAAAGGCGATGCCAGTCTCGAACTTAATGAATCCTTTTTGTCAGGACTATCTAAATCTATAAGATCACACATATTCACGTTTCTTCTATTTACGACGTTGCAATTTTGTTTTCTAGATCACAATTTCTTTACGCTGACTAAATGTTATTTCATAAAGAAAAATATTATTCCTTCATGATTTAATCCGTGTTATTACTTGTAAACAACGTTGTTACGATTTATAGATATACAAGTCGTTTCCTAATAAGTACATAATTCTTTGCTATACGTTAAATTTTATTTCAATTATCAGTGTTTCAAAAATTATCTCACAATAATCGCAATGTTCACGTTTAAGAATATCAACGTCCGCCTCTTCGGTTACTCACCGCTCACAGACATTTTAAAAGTTTTTACTTCGCTGCCCTCTACCGGATATTCGAAAACTAAATGGAATTTATTTACAACGTGTTTCAAAACAACTCTAGAAGCGTGTAAATGTTACCGAGAACTTGCAAAATTATCTCAGCATGGAAATTTTAGTGACTAGACTATGAGAATTATAGAAAAAAACAACAAATCATATAAATAATGTTTATATTATCATGTAATTAGATCAAGAATAAAATATTCGATATAGAGTTCTTAAAATATTGAATCAGACATAATAAAGTCCACATTACGAAACGATAAAGATGATTTATAACTTACAAAGTTCCGAAGAGACTTTCGAGAATTTGTATTTTTTTAAACAAATGTATTTTAAATATATTCGGATAAAAAGTTAAATTTGCAGTTGGTAAAAATTTCTATCGTAATAACAGCAAGTTTCTTTCTTCTTCCACAGACTTTCTGCTAGAAGTTCAAGATTGACGCGTTTTGCTAGTATAGCTGAGCGTCTCACTATTGGCGGATGCTTCGAAGGAAGTGGCACATGATTGGCCAACGGGAGTTACGTACACACGGATGTGACCAATCGCGTTGCCCCGTTGCGTTTACAACGCATTATAAAGATGCACGTAAGGAGGTTGTTTCGTTAACGTTGGCGTCACCGCTAAACAGTTCTTCCGTTGACTGAGATAGGAGGATCCTGGGCTTCGATAGTTGTTAAGCGTCTCTCACGGACACGGTGTTGTTGTGCATCAAATTGATGATTTGATAGTGCGAACGGCTAGTGTGTGAGATAGTGCAATAGAAGAATCGTGAAGGAAAAGGAAAAAAAAAAGAAAAAGAGGAAGAAAAAGGAACATGTCAACGAAGGCAGCGAAGAAGACTAGCACAGCGGCGAGTTCAAGCGGCAGCGTGCAGTCGCCGCAATTTAGTACGTCAACGCCGATCGGCCAGCGACCAGGAAGTCCTTTGAGCCCAACCCGTTATTCGCGGCTACAGGAAAAGCAGGACTTGCAGAATCTCAATGACCGATTGGCTTGTTACATCGACAAAGTGCGGCACTTGGAGGCCGAGAACTCGAGGCTCACGCGGGAGGTACAGACGACCCAGGAGACTATCACCCGCGAAGTATCCAACATAAAGTCTATGTATGAGCATGAACTGTCCGATGCGAGGAAATTACTGGACGACACTGCGAGGGAACGAGCGAAACTAGAGATTGATACGAAACGATTGTGGGACAACAACGAGGAACTGAAGTCTAAGTAAGTCGCTTTTGATGATTTTTATTTCAAGTAGATGTATTTGGGAATACGAATCCGTGCAAGCCCGATTTTCGAAAGAACAAGGCCGGGACGATCGCCGGAATTCTTCATGGTTTCTTGTATTCAGCGTATTTCGAGCTTTGGTTTTGATCTTGAAACTGATTGATTTGATTTTGTATCTTATGTTTATGCTGATCTACATTTTGTGCATGCGTATGTATATATTTGTGTTTCATTACGTGACGGAATATCGAGGAATTTTGAAAAGCTATAATTAAGATATACGTATATCATATTTACTAACGACACGTTTATTGGTGTTTTCGTGACGAGTATTTTTTGGAAATTTGTGAAGATAAATGAAACTCTCTCTCGAGATTGTTTATACATGATTTATTTTATCTATTTTTTTTTAAACTTGAATATTATTTATAAATTTTAATTTATAAATTTACCTTGTAGTTAGACGTATCACAAATGTGATAATAATAGAATGAAAAAAAAATGATAAAATTAGTATTGATATATGAGAAAGAAGAAACATTTTTCATCAATTTGGAGTAAAATATATTTGTGAACTTTATATGAAATTAAAAAGAGATGACATAATTAAGAAATTAAGTACAATATCCTGATATCAGGAAGTAATGATTTTATAATTATATATGTACTTTTATACTTTTATACTTTTGTACGTAGATTTTACACTTACACTTGCTTGTGTTTATTAATGAATGGTTGTGGTAAATGGTATATGTAATGACATGCAAATGCTTCATACGTTGTTCCTACATTAATCTAGTGACCCTTAAATTGTATATATTTATTAATATAAGTAGTTGATTAAGTATATTTATTGATATAAGTAGTTGCTCTTTTCTTTTCTTCTCCTTTCTTTTATTTTAATTTGAAAAAAAAAACATAATGAAGCTGACCTATCTGTACTGTTATCTAGATATTTATAGTACCTAGTTATCTACAGTATTCCTCAAGTCGATTCCAAAAATCGTTTTCAAGATGACTGAATGAAAGTTTGGAATTCCATTGATAAAATTCGTTACAAAATTTTCCGAATATTTGGGTGTGCCTTGAAACGTGACGTTATTACGAGCGATTGTTTCACGTTTACTATGCGGTGGTGATGTCATTTTCAACCACGGCGTGTACAACCTCGACTGAAAACATTGACCTCCTTTCTAGCGCGCGTTTAAGCAATCGATAAAAATACGGATAAAACGAGAAATAAGCGGGAAATGTTACTTCGTTCAACACAGACAAGCTAAGAGATATGAGCAAATAGCAAAAACGAGGTATATGTTAATGAGGTATAATGTCGAAATATCTCTGAATTCATTGTATATGTATCGTATGTTTAATATTACGAAATATTGCAGATATTAATATTTACATCTCTGCGAATAAACACGAACAATATATTGAAACATTTAGTAGAAAGTCTGTGTTTTAATCGCCTCAATTTCATCTTTGTAACTGGCATACATTTTGAAGATCAGTATATTCGATTTTGTTTTGTTCAACAATCCAGCTACGTTTTTGAACGATGCCGGTTTTAGCTATCTTCTAACTTGAAATTAGTTTTTTGTTTCATTGTAGAATGCAAGCTTGCCGTGCACAAAATGTAATATTTTTGATTTTTTCAATTTCTCTCTTTTTTTATCGAATTTTTTTCGTAGTAATTACATAGAGATTTTGTAAGATCTGCTGCAGTTATCAGAGAGATAAAAGTGTATGCAATGTGTACATATACATATTGGCTCTGTAGCAATTATATATATATATATACACATAAAAAAGAACCTTCTTGATGAAGGAGTGGCATTGATGGAATTATATTAAAATGCTCGTTTTCGCATGAAGATACAAACTTGACATTTCTTGTGAAATAATTCCATTAAAATCGTAAAATCTATACGTGGTCTATAAATTTTACTTCATTTTATATAATCGTTTTTAATATGATATAGTTTGTTAATATTTTTTTATTTTTAAGTTAAATATTTGAATTAGTTCTTTTATTTAATATTTTTTCACGTATGATATCGAAAATTTATTTATTACTTTTTTTTTGTAGTACGAATTTTTTTATTATGAATCTAATACTTTGTATGAAATATTGAGAGATTTCGAGACATCGTGGTATAAAATAAAATTTCTCTATGTGGGTCGGTTGCCTGAAATAGAAACACGAATGCTCACCTCTTCCCGACTGCCGGAATGTCTCAAACGATTGAAATTTTTTCATGAAACTCATTTTGTATACACTTTAAGAAACGTAAAAAGAAATTTTTATTCGACACTATCAAATTCGACATTTTTAATACACGAATGAGAAACAATGCACAAGACTACTGTTGGATGTGTTAATTTATCAAAGTTTTAGATATGTTTAAATACTTACAACTTTTTGTTAAATATATATAATATTTTAAAATATTATCTTACATCAATATTAAATATTAATATTATTTTTTATTTATAATTAATATAATTTGAACTTATCAACATTTCTTTGTGATTTTTTCAGATTGGATAAAAAATTAGTGGACTTACAAGTAGCAGAGAGAAACTTGTTGTTATATGAGACACGTTACAATGATTTGCAATCACAATTTAATCAGTCTCAAGCAGAACGTAAAAAGCTGGCTGAGAGAGAAAAAGAATTGGAACAAGAAGTAGAGAAATTAAAAGCGTTGTTAGAAGATGCTCGTAAACACTTGGGAGAAGAGACATTGCAACGCATTGTTCTTGAAAATAATATTCAAAGTTTAAAGGAAGATATTAGTTTCAAAGATCAAATGTATCAACAGGAGTTAACGGAAACACGTACAAAGAGACAGGTTTGTACTTAGTAGTAACTGCTATTAATTTTAGAAACTAATAATAATTATAAGTATACTTAAATTGCGTGTTATTTTCATTTTAGATTGAAATTTCTGAGATAGATGGCCGTCTTGCTGAGGAATATGAAGCTAAACTACAACATTCTTTACAAGATTTACGAGATCAATATGAAGCACAAATGCGAGCTAACAGAGAAGAAATTGAGTTGTTATATGAAAATAAGATTAAAAACTTAACAGCTCATGCTCAGCGTAATAGCGGAGCAGCAAGCTTAGCTGTTGAAGAATTAAGGCAAACAAGAACAAGAATTGATACACTTAATCAAAAAATTAATGAATTAGAAGCATCAAATAACGCTCTTAATGCACGAATAAGGTAATTAAATGTATATTTTAAGTATTATTTTAAGTTTATTATTTATAGTTTTAAGTATTTTGAATCATTGCTCAAGTTAAATTTTATTATAGAGATTTAGAAAATCTACGTGAAAATGAAAAAACTCGCCACGCAGAGAGTTTAGCATCTTTAGAAGCTGAATTAGGACGTATACGCGACGAAATGGCTCAACAATTACAAGAATATCAAGATCTTATGGACATCAAGGTTGCTCTCGATCTGGAAATTGCAGCATATCGAAAATTATTGGAATCTGAAGAAGCTAGGTACTAAAGATTAATATTCTATAAAGTTTTACAATAAATAAAATAGAATTTTATTAATGTTTTACATGATTACATGAAAATTTACTGGTCCATAGATTGAACATCATGCCTGTACAGCCGAGCTCAACAGCGTCTAGTGGTAGAACCACTCCTTCAAGACATACTCCTTTAAGAGGTGGAAAACGAAAACGCACCTTATTGGAGGAAAGTGAAGAACGCAGTAGCACTGACTATAGCGTATCTGGAACATCTAGAGGGGATATAGAAATTACAGAAGCTGATCCTCAAGGACGATTTGTTAAACTTACCAACAAAGGCAATAAAGTAAGATACTCAGTACTGGGCAAATTACTCCAGTGTGTGCAATAATTTTTTCACACTAATATTTAATGTTTTCAATTTATTTTTATGCTATATAGGAAATAGGACTTAGTGGTTGGCAAATTATTCGCAAGGCTGGTTCTTTGGAAACAGTATTTAAATTCCATCGTACTGCAAAATTAGAAGGTGGTGCCACTGTAATGGTATGGTCTGCTGATATTGGTGCCACACATGAACCACCATCAAATATTGTCATGAAGGGTCAAAAATGGTTTACAGCGGATACTATGACAACTACACTTCTTAATAACGAAGGCGAAGTGAGTGTTTCTTACATTCTATACTATTTTATTATTGCATTATTTTATGAATATAAACTGTATTTTCAATGTTTTGGTGTTTAAATAGGAAATGGCCACTTCAGAATGTAAAAGACAACAATTGTCTACATCTTTGTCTCGACATAGAGAAAACTTGGGTTTTCGACCTTCTGAAGAACTTCACCATCAACAGGTATGTTATCTAAATACAATACAAAAATAGATTATAAGTGCCATGATAGTCGACATTAATTCGGCTTATATTTTCTTTTTATTCACAGCTAAACGAAAAATTTATTTATTTTTTTTTTCTAGGAATAAATATTAGTTTTATTTGTTTTCTTAAATATTTAAATATTTTTTTTGTCACTTATTTTAATAAGAATATCGAAAATATAAGTGAGAAATATTGAATAACTAAATACAATCTTTAAAAATTAACGGCACTAGCTATTATTGTACAAATATCCATGTTGAATTGAAAACTTGAAAATCAATTACGAAATAATTAACAATTTTATTATTTTGTAAAATTATTTGTTTCTTTTTGGTAATTATATTTGTATTTAACGAAGACAATGTGGCTATAAAAACATTTTAATTTGTTTGACATTTATTGTTAGAACGTTGTACAAAGTTTCTTTAAAATATTCACGTTTTCGTTAAATTAATTTTACTGTTAGACTTAATATTAGAAACGTAAAATAAAATCGGGATGTGTATCATCAACGAATCTTCTTATTCCATAGAGAAGATATCTCTACCCATATTAAGTGGGCGACCGAACGGTTCTGATGGGTCAGTTTATGTAAGTTTTCAACTTATCGAACGTTAAAATAGTCGCCGGTGATCAATGTCATTCGCACTTTAAATAAAAGGAATTATTTGCTTTGTTTTTTTCTTCACAGCATTTTATTTTCATGCTCACGCTTAACTAAAACTTCATGAGTGTTAAGAGTAATATAATCTTTTGTTAAAATATAAACATCTCATTAGTTAACCACATTGTCTTTAAGATACGCATTTAAACAATTCCAAATATCTTTTCTCATATATATAAGTGTATAGTTATTGTTCATTTTCTATTACCATTGGTATTGTTACTAACGCAATACTATTGGTATTTTAATTTATTTATACTAAAAACGTTAAAACACTAAAAAACTTATTAACATACAATTCATCACTTTGTTGCTGCTATATTAATTTATTGAAGTGCTAAGTGTCAGCATTGTTTTTATATGTGGAGGCCAAAAAAGGGAGAAACGATCTTTCATTTGTTTTCATGAGCTTATAGAAATTTGCCGGTTCGATGCATGCATAAATATTTTTTTTAACATTTTCCCAGAAAAGCCTGGTGTGAGCTGAATGAAATAAGTCGATGGAAATATTAATCGACGATTTTATTGCTTTGAAAGGATATATCATTCGTGAAATTTAATTTACAGAATAAAAAAATTTCATTAAAATACACAAAATTTCCGAATCAGTAGTAAAATAGTTATCAATGTAGTAAATATCATGTACGTGCGTGTATATGTGAGAATATGCGTGTATGTATATCTTTACATGCATGCAGGCACAATATTCATCTTTTTCATTAATATTTCAATTTATTAATAAAAAATTAATGCTCATTAATATTGATTTTAAATTTTGTAATTACTAATTGTCGAATAATATACACATCACGTCAGTTAAGTTTATTAAGTGATTCAACTTCTCAATTCAATTAATTTCTTTTGTACATAAACACCATCTTTTTTCTTTGTTGCAGGGCGATCCCCAAGGAGAGGAATTTTGTCGCCTTATGTGAAAATAAGTCCATGAAATAATCTTAAGAGTTCTAACAGCACGTTTTAAAAAATGCTTTAAAAAAAAAGTACAGAAAAAGCACTTAAGAATGATATATTTTGCTTAAGAAAACAATAAAGAAGAAATTGAAAACAGAATTCACAACACCATGTTAGTACTTTATATTTATAGAGATATGTACGACATATGAGAAAATATTCTGTAATATAATGTTTAAATCAAACTTAAGGAAGAGTTTCACGAGGATTGAAACGAATATTATTGCATTTATATATTTGCACTTCGTACAAAACTTATTTGTCTGTTACATCAGAGTTACTACTTTATTGAATAAGGAGCACGAGTAATTTTTTCAGCGAGACCGAAACTATTTTTGGCATACCATTTGTTTCTACCTAGTCGTTATCGTGCCTTTTTAAATATAAAAGAGAGATCTTTTTTCTTAGTAGATAATAGTATTTATTTTTAAGTACAAACCCGGATGCAATAGGAGCGTGGTGCCCGCCGAATATAATGTTCAGATTCATTTTTTTTTAGCAGGAAAATATTTTCTGATATGTATACTAAGTTTTCAATTAATTAATAAGACAGAAACAGAAATGAAACTACGTTTAGTGCAAAATGTATCAGCTCCGTCATCCGGACTATCATTTTGTTAATTGTATTCGACTTTATACCATTTATACTAATAATAAAAATTATAATTAACCGTATCCTATTCTTTTATTATATTTTACGATATTAATTACGACCAATTAATTTTTATACACACGTAAAATATCCATGAATTAAAATTGTAGTGATGTTTGATCCAAGCAATCTGAAGTATTGTAGAAATCAATTATAATATAATAATTTAAAAATGATATACACACATAAAAAATTCAATATTTTTTAGACAAAAATATAACGATATGTTTTGATATTTTTAAATTAAACGCACATTGAGTAAGGCTATTGAATAAAATTTGCAAATTCATAGATCGCAATTTATAGATCAACTAGAGTATGAGAAGAAAGTTTAAAATATAATTGAAAAAGTGCTATCATAAAAGTTTACAATTTATTTGATTGGTTTCATTTTCAATTAAAAATTTGTTCGATTCATAAACAAATTTATGGATTAATTTTTATTAAAAAAACTACAACACAAGGTATATGAATAGACTAACCACAGACGAGATATATGAATACCTCGTCTGTGTTTAAACGTAAAGTGCGCCTCCCAACCAGTGACTTTTTACTATGTCGGTATTTCAGGTCACGGGCGACGAAAGTCCGTAAGATGCTTGGGCTATTCATAACCTACTCTGTGAAAAAACCATTTACTATGTCGGTATTTCAGAACATGGTACACGAAATTTCATAAGATGCTTGATCTATTCATACCTCGTCTGTGGTTATATAACTAAGAATTTTTTTGTTACATGTAATAGAATATAATATCCAAGAAAGATTCTATAATTACAATAGAATCCAATACAATATTGAGTGCGATGCAATAATTTTGTAAATTCATTTACTATTCCGTCAGTGTATAGATGCAGAAGTACCTATGCCATTGGTAGTAAGATATATAATACGAATTTAATAGAATTAAATTTAGAACGCGAAAATATGAAACTTTATGCAGTACAACATAAAAATATTCAAATATAAATATAAAATAATAGCGGAGCAGATTTTTATTATTATAAAATATAGTATCAACAGGTTCCGTGGTGTAGCGGTTATCACGTCTGCTTTACACGCAGAAGGTCGCCGGTTCGATCCCGGCCGGAACCACGTATAATTTTTTAAAAAATTTCTATTTTGTAATTAATAAACACAGAAACCCAGAAAACTATAATTAATAGTCATGAATAGCAAATACTAACTAAAGACAGAAACTATCCGCTTGTACAACATAAACTATCAAATATTTAAATTCATTTCCTCTATCATTAATTATTGTCACATTTTTTAAATTCGATGTATGAACTATTTTGTTTACAATTAAATATCATGCCATTAGTTAAAAGAAACGTGACGAAACAGAAAGAATCGCGGAAGTCGAAATTGATATCCGGCTGGCGCGGTGATATTTGTCTTCTCGCACGTTTGCGATACGAACAGAGTGTCTTTTCATTTCCTTTCGTTCTTTCATTCACTGTTTCCGTCTTGGCCATCTGCTAACACACCTGCGCCGTGCCGCAGCCAACTGCTTCGTTTCTTTGGCGTCGCGTAACGAGAGCAAGTCCGGTTTTTAGTCGGACGTCGACTATTCAGCGCTCCTTTTTCAGCCGGTATTTTATACCGCGACGACAAGATGGAGAACACCGTGGATATCGATGCGTTTCCCAACGACTGCGTTCCTTCCTCTCCTTTTCCCATTTTTTTTTTTCCTCTCGCTGCCGAACCGATTTTATCGAATAGCTTAACCAGCTATGCGGAATCAACATCAAAGATCCAACTGCGCGTGACTATACGCACGATCGCCGATGCCCATGGACAGATGCTTTAACAAATTTCTAATTTCACGCAGAACTGATGATTAACGCGATTCGATATCAAATCGAATCTTTCCGGTGATGATGTTCTAGGTTTAAGTAGAAGTGTTGAATAGATTTTTCTTTGATGTTGCTTGTCTTATTATGCTGAAAGGATTGGGCTGTGTCTGTAAAATTGATAACAACATTCTCTTATGAACTCGCTGTTATTTTCATCCTAAATTTACAACGTAGATTGTTCCTACTTTTGTAAAAATTGTTCTTGTTATGTCAATATTGTACGCATGATGTTTTTGTTCTCTCAAGTGAACACGTTTGTTTTCGTGTAGATGGAAGCAAGGAGCGTGGAAATCTGAGCTCGCCTGTTTGTCTTCGAAGCAAACGAATGCCTGGTAACTCACTTATTCGCTTGGTAATTACACGACGGAGAACGAAATTGGGTCGAGTGTCACGAGAATACTTTCGGCCACCTTCAAACTCCAGTGTTCTTGAACAACCCCTATCTTTCTGCCAGGCATACTTTGGTTCACGTGGCTTTCGCGTCTTTTCAGAGAGGAAATCCGCGCGGTACTGTGAAACATTACATTGTCCCCCGGCTGTCTGGAAAGAAAGAATTCTGAAAAATTCTATTTGAAACAGCCGCTGTTCAAGGCAGAAGATTTTATTATTATATTTTAAATAATTTGTTTTCAATACTATCGCGTGTAAATTTGATCATAATCTCGCAGGTTAATCACCTGTTTAGACAGTTGCAAAGATTCGTTGGACGCTGTTTAGCTTCCTTATCTCGATCAAGTAGCTTTACTGTTTGATAATAATGTTTGATCGAAAGATATAGCTTTTGGGAACGGATAAGAAAGAGTTATTCCAATCTTCGTCTATAATGTTCTTGCTTGTGTTATTGTTTGTTTAATACTAACGATATTTATAAGTTTAGTTTCTAAATTCGTTCTATTTTGTTACCGCTTGTTGATTTCTTTATCTACCTCAACTTTCTAATTTGGTTATTACTGGCTCAACATACTATTGACTTACTATATCAGTATATCCTAACCGTATCGTTTGTTTCATGAAAAATATCAGTGGTTCATCATATGATTCTCTGTCCTCCAAATATTCCAAGTTATTGAATTATCGTACGGTCAATCCACTTTTGGAATTTTCAACTTCGATCGTTTGATACTTTTTTTTTTTTTTTTTTTTTTTTTTTATTGAAACCATATGCTTTAAGTTCATCGTCGACAAACCACGACACGGTTCCATGATCGAGGAGGTCAGATACGATCGACGCAGCCGGATCGGTTCCAATAAAAAGGATTAGGTAACAATCCGGTCGAACGATTTGAATTTATCATGCATCCGTGTTCCCTGCGGTAACTGCAGGTGGCCCATTCAGGATGCGGGATGATTGACCAGAAGTAGTTGGTCATGAATAAGACGCGAGAATCTCTACCTCCCGCGTGGAACGATCAGTTTCAATGACGGGTTCGTCCAGAACGATACATTGAGTTTCTTCGTTCGGTTGTTTCGGTCCGTGTTGCGAGGAGACTACTTGTCGGAAAGCAGCGTGAAATCTCGAGAAACCAGTCGTTTAATGTTACCTCGCCCGTCTCCACCTGCAGCTTCTTTTTATCCTCGCCGCTGAACTTCACCCTGACCCTAATCTGTGGTCACATTTTATAGCCGACAATTAAATTGCCTTTTCCATGGATCTGATTCAACCATCACGCAGATGATATTTTAGGTTTTATGTCGCAACAATCGAGCCCGAATTTATGAGATTCTTCTCGTGTAGGGTACGTTTCGGTGCTTTTATAGCATTATTCTTGTAATATGTTTCGTAGTCTGATGCTACTCGTATTCTTTGGAAATGGTGTGACAAAAATCATGTTTGTTAACACGTATGCCTGGAAGAAAATACAAAGGATTTAGGATTAGAGTGGAAAGGTCGAAATATTTATAATCGGAGAAAATAGGTTCTTGCATCAAGTTTTTAATCTATGTGTGAATAATAGCAAAGAATAGCTCTATATATACCTTGCTCGATGAGTATGTATTATTGTACAATTCCAGACGTTTTACACTTTAATTTTTCACTAAGATTTCATTTTCTTTCTTTTGCAACTTTTTATCGCTGCTCAAACCGTCTTATAAATCCAAAAGTTCTGGCCCGTCATTAGTATAGCGTGATGAAACGGCGTGGAAGTTTCTTGTGAATAAGAGAAAAAGTACGCAAGCTTAAAAAGTTCCTTCGTGAAAGGGCAATAAATTCTCTCGGAAATTGATTAACACTAATGGTTACCTAGCTTCTTCAGCCACTGGATAAAGGAACTTTCTCTCGCTAGTAATTAAAAGCAATATTTTCGCTCTCACGATTTTTCAATTCTGAGAACACGTCGGATTCACGGCGAATCAAGCAAATGCGAAATAATTTTACGATGATTAATAAAGCTGCGTTGCGCTTATTAATCAAACGAAACAACTTGGACGTGGACACACGAAGGAAAACGAGTTTCATCCCTTTCGTCACCGTGTTCAATATAAATCATGTTCAAGCTCCAAGATTACTTGCATCCGGTCTGTACAAGTTATTTCGTAATATTAGAAAAGCGAATTCGATAACGTAAATTAATTGGAAAAAAGTTAAAATGTTCGTCCTTGGCGAGTTAAATATAGACTTTTTTTTAAAACTTCTTACATTTGCTGCCTAGATGAT